GCTTATTTTCCTCTTCTAAATGCTTAATTCTATCCAATAACTCTTGTTTTTGTCTTTTATGCCAATCCTCAGCCACTCACTCCCAAAGCCTCTAAATGAGTTTCTACTTCCTCAGTTAGTTGATTTTTTTCTTCCCTCAAACCATTTATTTGTGTTTCATAAAAAAGTGCCATTTCTCCATTTTGGTGAGACAAAAGAGGAAGTTCTTTTTCATTTCCCTCTTCTTTACAATCACAAGTGTATCTAGTCTTTAGCCTTCCACAACTACATTTAGACAACTCATCATTTTCAAATTTCTCTTTGCAATTCTTGCAAGCCTTATCACTTTCAACCATTTCACCAGTTGCTTTGCTTTGTGTTCTGATTTGACAAACTGCTTTTTTCAAACCAGGGCAAAAAACACAAGTAGAATTACTGCTATGTCATCCTTCTAACTCTAAGATTGTGTAGAGTAGCTCTCTCATGATTATTTAACTGGAGCTTCTATTTTAGTAACAAGTACTTGACTGTAAAACTTCTCTCTTTTGATTAATTTCTGCAACTGCTGAACCTTGGCTCTTGTCTTTGTTTTAATTGCTTGAAAATGTTTTGCTTAGTTAAAGTATTATTTTCTTCTTTAGGTAGAGCAGGTAAGGGTTTTCTTTCCAAATATAGTTGTATTTTTAGTTCTTCTCTTTCTTTTGTTTCATCCTCAAATTTCTGATCATTCTTTCTTAACATTTCTAATTTCTGGGCTAATTCTTCTTGTAACTTTTCATTCTTTATTATTTCCTCTTCAAGCATTTTATCAGACTTTTGCAACATTAGTGATTTTTGTTTGATTTCATCATTCAAAAGACCTTTTTGTCAGTTTTTTCATTCTTCAGTCTTATTTATTGCTTCAGCTAGGTCTTTAGAACTTTGTTCTAATTTTTCAATGACTTCAAAGTATACATGGGATGGTAATTATTTTGCCAAAAACGTAATACGTAATACGTAAATTATGAAATTAATTACGGGTGACGAAATTAATTACGGGTCACAAAATCAATTACGCGTGACGAAATCAATTACGAATGATGAAATTAAATGACACCTATCAGTCAGACAGGATTTCACACTTACTGATTTTACTATATGATCGACACATCACATTTTTCGTACAACAGACTTTAAAGGAAGAATTGAATGCAAGATTATTAACAAACAATTTTTACACTTTTAAATAAAT